GAGAATACTCTCTCTCATGCTTAAGTCTTGCAGCAAGGGGAGTATTTGGGTAGCCTTGAGCCAGACTCTAGAACTCCAAATTGTTGATGCATGCTTGAAGTTGCAGGGCTGAATTGTAGAAATGCTCTGGTCCCAGTAACAGACACAAGGGTTTTCCATGAGTACACCAGGAATTGGGATGAGAGTAGAGAGAGAAAGCCAATAACACCATTGCTTGTTGCCTTGCAGGCAGTTTGAGAGGACCCCTCCTATCATGGGGATTATCATTGATCACTTTGTGGACCGTCCCTATCCCAGCTCTTCACCCATGCATCCCTGCAATTACAGGTGAGGAAATACCCAGTTGAAATCATGGGCCATGGTGAAGGCATCCTTTATGCCCAAAGACCAGCCTTTTCCACTATTTGCTGACTGCATGGGAAGAGAGACTGGAGGATTAGTGTCAATCATATTGACATGGTTGAGCATATGAGGAAGGGTGACATTTTTCTCCTCACATCCAGAAGACTAAGTGCAGAAAGCCCCAGTATTTTCCCAGATTTCTTACAGAAACACTTGGACACAAAGGATGTTTCACCTTGTCTGCCTTTGGGAATTTGAAAGTGTAACAGTTAATCCTGCTGTAGAACTAGGTGTCCAGAGGCATGCATCTGCAGGTATTTCCACTGGGGAAAGATCAGACTCTAATTTCCCTTTATGAGAAATACTCAGCGGTGGTGTTTGACAATGGTTCTGTGAACACCAAAGCCAGTAGCATTAGCTGGTATAACAAAACCTCTAGTTAAAAAAACAGAGGAAAGTGTTTCCATTTGGCAGTAGAAGAGGGGCACCTGGGAAAATTAAAAGTTTTTATACCTTGTTTTCCTCTGTTCTGCCAAGTAGATGAGAGCCCTGCATAATTCTCCTTTCAACTCCACCCAAATACTCTCAACCTCCATTCAGTGCATTTGACTGTTTGTTTTAAGGAATATTTCCACTTAGAAAGCTTTTTTTTTCCTTGCTGCTTTAGAGCTGGTGAGGACAATGGTGCAGTATACCCTTCAGTAGAAGATTCCCAAGAAGTGTGTGCCACGTCTTTTTCCACTTCTCCTCCATCTCAGGTAAGAGAAACCAGGCTTTTTTCACTCCTAGGTAGAATAATCACTGTTAGGGTAATGTGCATACTCCTACATCAACTACTGTGCAAACAGACAGCCTAGTGCTGCTAATTAAAATGTAATGCGTGGGTTATTTATATTGGTACGCTCTAATTATTGGAATAGATACTCATTACATACTAATTTCAACAAAATACTGGGGAACTAGAAAGACTGAATTACTGAGAAAGATTAAAAGAACCTGCTCCTGTAGTTGGGGTGAGATGTGCTTGAAGAGGATAGCAGAATACTTACACACTGACATACCAAGGAATTCAAAAGATTGATGCCAGGCAGCGCAAGTAGAGGTAAATAGACTGACATTGAGAAAGAAACACTGAAATACCACGAAAAGGCTTATAGCACAGTCATATTTTCTACATTGCAGAATGGAAAAGCAGGAAAAAGACAAAAGCAGTATTTGTTGGACCATCCAAAACTAGTTGGGGCAGCAG